ATACTATCAAGCTTATGTATGCACATTGTTTAAGTAAGTTAGTAGTTTTACAAGGACTTTTTCCTTAAAAGAGGAATCATTTTGCCTTATTTTCCAGTTGTCTCTCTAGAAGTATCTGTTTTCTCTTCTTTTGTAACTTCTTTGGGTGTTTCCTTACATCTCTGAAAATATGTTTAATATTTGTTTATTTTTTTCAGGCTTTGTTCTTCTCTTGTATCTTCTACTATGAAAATAAGGATCTAACATTTTCTTACCCTGAACCCAACACATGTACATATATAGATTCACACACTTCCCATCCTTCTAATTTTTGGTATCAGAATTTTGACTGAATTTCCATTATTTATATTATTATGGCTATTTATTGTTAGTCTTAGACATGTTCTTCCTAAATCAAGATACATTTTAATAATTTTTTTTGGTGGTACTGGTGTGTGAACCCATGACCTCCACACTGAGCTACATACCTAGCCCTTTAAAAAAATTTTTTTTTAAATTTCGAGGCAGTGTCTTGCTAATTTGCAATGGTGCCCAGGCTGAGCTCAAACTTGGAGACTTCCTGTCTTAACCCATAATTAAAGTGTGCACCACTGCATCTGGCTTTAAGACTTTTAGTATTCCCAGAGTTAATAATGACCTTGAGGTTTTGTTTATGTGTGTTTGTTGCTTAGTTTTCTATGTACATATCCCTAGTTTAAGTCTCAACTCTCCATTAATTGTCTAAGTCTCTTAAAACACTTAGATGCAGTAGCTAATCTGTTGACTTGATCTTGGAGAAATCTCTTCTGGAGCCTTCTGATGCTTCTTCACTCTAGACAAATGCCTCATTATGTCTACTTTTACTCAGTTTAGGTTTATCTGATGCTTCTTATGATTTGATTGAGGTAATGCATTTTTTAACAGAATGTCACAGAAATAATGTTATGTCCATTGACAGAGTACAATACTAAAGTATTCTGAATGTAGATATCTGATTATCAACGACACTGAATTTACTCAGTAAAGATGACATCTGCTTGGTTACTTCATTGCAAATTCCTTGGTGGTTTTTTGTTGTTATTGTTTTGTCTTTTTGTGAGACAGAGTCTCACATTGTAGTTCAGGCTGGCCTTGAACTCACTACGTAGCCCAGGCTGGTCTTGAACTTTCAGCAGTCTTCATACCTCAGCCTCTAAAGTGCTGGAATTACAGGCATGTGCTGCCACAAATGACTATTTGTTATTAATAAAGACCTCGGGAGATATCCTTTGAGACTTTTCAGTTTGTTATGAAATTTTTGCCCATTAATTTTAAAATCTGATGGTGGATCTTATCTGCAACAGTTATTATTGTCGTGTTGGCCTAATGTTGATTTTTCTTATTACTCTCTTCATGTATGTTTCCTTCTTTGACCTTTTCACATCCCCTATCCATTTTTTGAGCACTTTCTTCCTCCTGGCACTCTGAAGTGTTCCAGGTTTGTCTTGCTTTCCTTGCCCAACCAAGTCTTGACTCAACCATTTCTCCAAAGAACCTAGTATTGGGAAATGATGTTTAGAAACAAAAGTCTGGGTTCTAGACATGCACTTATCTATAATAATGTTGTTATTTTCAGGTCTTACAGCAGACAGAACTAGTAAATACATGTAAGCGAGCGTGCGCATGCACACATATGCGCACACACACACACCCACACCCACCCCTATATTTATTTTTGCCTCAGTAATGTTATGATCAAAATTCTCCATTTATATTAACAATTTGATTCTAGTCCTGAGTCATAGAATGTATTTTGTCTTCCTCTTCATTTATTTCTAATTTTGTTTTCTGACAATGAGAAACAATTTGTTTGTTCATTTTAGTATTCCTATTTTATGGGCATGTATGTGTGTTTAGCTTAGTTTTATATGAAGTACAAATTTACTAACCAGGTTCTAATATTTGTGTAAGGCTCTTTTTTGTCCCAATATCCAGTCAAGATACTTTTTCTTTAAAAGTTACTTAGGTTAGATTCTTTTACATTCATTTGTTACTGTTCGTATTCCACTTTGGGTCCCTAACAAGTGCTGGTTTATTTTGCTTATTTATTTGTGGGCCAGGGAATCTGCAACATTACTTTCTTCTAAGTATCATAGCTGAACAAAATATATCTTCAGAAAGGTAGAATACTTCCCCAAACTACAAATTTCATTGTTTTAAAAATGTATCAGTATATATACTAGTTGGTTCCACCTATACTACTAGTTTATTTTGGCACACTACAAAGAAACTTTTGTGTTATATTTTTGTTTCTTTTTTATAAGAAACTTTTTGGTTTATGTCTTGTACTCTGAGTTACTAATGATACATAGTGTAAGAATTATCATTTTCTCTTATTATTTGATTGTGATATTTTATTTTTTCATAAAATAAAATTTTAAAAGCTACATTCTCAGAAATATATCCCTACTACTGCCTCCTGATCCCTACTACTGTATTTCTGTTCCCTACTTCTTCCTACCTCTTTCCCACCTACCCTTTGTATTTATTTATTTATTTATTTATATCTTTGGAAGAACCAGGGCTTGAACTCAGGCTCTTGCGCTTGCCAGGAAAGCCCTTACTCTACTGAGCCATCTCCCCAGCCCCACCTACCCTTTGTTGATTATTAATCTCTTTAGTTTCAGCTTTATGCTTTTTATATTTCTTTTGTACAATTGCACAAGATAGGTGTGTCTTCTTTCTTAGATGACACACAACACCATATACTCTAAATCTTTCTATCTTATACATTTTTTCATTGCTTGAATATTTTTATTTCTGCTGAAAAGGAGAGACATTAAGGCGCAGTCCTAATGCTGAGCTTCAGCTGCAGGGCCCAGACAGATCTAAATTGATATGGAAACTTTTCTATGTATTCTCCCAGTGATGTTCCCTTCAGTCAGGTGTGGTTCAAGTGTTCATGCTGCCCCTTTGTTCTCTTCTGGATCCTAGGCATATTTTTTCCAGTGCTGGAGATTGAACCTAAGGCCTGAAACCTTCTCTAATTGTATGTATGCATCAAGTATGTTTCTCTTGGTATTCTGTCTTGCTATTTTTGATGTGGTACTGGGGACTAAACCCAGAACCTTTGTACTGAGCTACATCCCCATCCCTTTTTACTTCTTGCATCCGAGTTTTGGTAAGTCATCCAACTGTCCAGTCTGGGCTCAAACTTGTAATCCCCTGCCTCAGCCTCCCGGAATACTTGGAGTATAGGCATATTTTATTATGTTTGGCTTCACCAAGATTTTAATGGAAGGAAGGCATTAAATGTAAGGTCCTAGGTCACAGTATTGGTTCTATAAACTTCTTTTTCCTTCAGAATTTTTGAATTATTGATCATTTTGTCCATATGTTTGTAAATAATTTTCATTTTTCTTTTTCTGTATTTAGGGCAGGGCCTAAAGGGTCTCACTATGCAGATTGAACTCGTAGTGATCCTCCTGTTTTCAGCCTCCCAAGAACTGGGATTACAGGTGTGCGCCACCATGCCCAATCTGAATTGCTCTCTCAGGGTGCCCCATAGACGGGGCTGGCATGGCACACTGGGGATTGAACCCCAGTCACTGCGCTCTGCTTAAGCAGGTGCTTTAGTCTGCTGAGCTATCAGGCTGGCCCTTCTTTTTTCATTTTTAAGAAATCTTTCATTTATCTATTTGGTTCAGGGTCTTGCTATGCAGTTCAGATTCATAGTGACCCACCTGTGTCAACTTTTCTGGCACTGGGATTACAGACTTACACCACCATGCCTGGTTTTGGTGGCCAGCACAATGCACCCAGTATGCAGCATGTGGTACCAGGGATTGAATCCAGGTCCTTGCACTTGCCAGGCAGCTGCTTAGATGGCTGAGCTATCTCACCAGTCCCTTGTGAATAATTTTCTAAGTTCAGATGTAAAATCATTATGGAATTCTGACTGAAACTGACCTGATACACATTCACAAGATGTTAAAAAAAGTATGTATACAGTATATTCCTTTTTCTTTAGGAGAAGTTATATTTCAAATTTATTTATTGTAATTTAAGTTATTTTCATAATATATCTTAGGATGTTTTTAGTATTCCTGCAAAACATACTCCCTTCCTTTTCCAATTACTCATTGCCTTGACTTCAAATTCTCTTCCACTGTTTTACTATTTTCAACCTGGTTTCAACCCTTATAGTCAGATTAATTTAGGGGCTTTTCTTAATTTTCATATTCCTCAGTTTATTGAAATGTATAAGATAATTCTGA